TAGTGTATGTGTGGAGGACAGCCTTTGGGAGTGTCTGTGCATGTGTGTAGTGTATGTGTGGAGGACAGTCTTTGGGAGTGTCTGTGCATGTGTGTAGTGTGTGTGTGGAGGACAGTCTTTGGGAGTGTCTGTGCATGTGTGTAGTGTGTGTGTGGAGGATAGCCTTTGGGGGTTGGTTCTCTCCTTCTGAGGGTCTTATGGATTGAACTTAAGTTGTCAGACTTGATGACAAGTGCCTTTACCCACTGAGCAATCTTTACAGCCTACCAAACATTTCTTGACACACATAGTGATGATCATTATAATACCTCCCACCCACTGATATTTATTGTGTGTCGGACGCTGACTAGTTTCCGTGCAGTACCTCTTTCGCTGCTGCTCCCAAGAACTCAGGTAGATCTTCGTAGTTGCTCATATCCGCATGAGTAAATAGAGGAAAAATGACTGGGACATGGTGCTGTGGGCTCTTCAGTCTAGCACTCAGGAGACCGGAGCAGGTATTGGTGTCTGAGTCATGACCAGCCTGGTCTACATATCCAATTCAGGCCTGCCAGGGGGGAAACAAAAGAAAGGAAAGAGAAACATTGTTTAGGGACCAGTATAATAAAAGAATAGTATCCTAAAAACACAGGAGAAAGCCTCTCAGATTAAACACCCATGTGTACTGTTAGTTAGTGGGAGGCTGAGGCAGGAGGACTTCACAAGGCTAATAATAAATAATTGTGTGACGGGAAGTCTGCAGACCCATAGTCTTCCAGACTCCAGAGCAGCGTCGACTCTGCTGTCGGCAGCCTCCGTAGCTGCCCTGTCCATGGCTGATTACCCTGCTTATGTGGGCAGAGCTGCTAACATTGGGGTGCTCTGGTGGTTTTTGGATATTTGTCTATTTAACCTTCCCTAAATGTAACAGATTTGGTGTCCTCGTTTTTTAGATATGAAACAGGGGCAGAGATACTAACTGTGCCAGGGCCACAGAGCTAGGCCTGAATTCTGAAATCAGCTGTTTCTTAAGTCTGCGGAGATAACGGCCAGGAGGAAGGAGTGATGTAAGCCTGGAGGCTGTTGGGCTTTTGGCCCTTTTCGTGAACCTAGTGAAAATCATAGAACATGTCCAGTAAAAACCAGGGCTACTTCTACATAGAATAATTTTGGGGTTCACAGAATCCCTGAAATCTCATTCTGAACTCCTGGCACTAGTTGCTTGAGAGTCTTATCATTGAGTCTCAAAATATGAGTAATTTGTACAAGGCAACTTAGAACCAGTGAATGGAAGACTAGCAAAGCTTCAGTTACCTGCTGCCAATGGGGATTCTTCCACTTGACTGAAGCTTCCTCTGAAACTAAAACACTCTTTACTTTTTGCTGAAAACATTTTTGAAGTACGTCGTGTAATCCACTGCCACCTACAATATACCTAGCGGCTGCTAATAGCGAAGACTAGAACAACCGCTTTCTGATGAGAACGAGGGTGGCGACCACCACCTCAGGCTTCATTGCACAGCTGTGCCTACAAAGCGTAGGACTGAAGCCGTTGTGAATCCATCCGATGGTCCCAAAATACCTGACTTTGAATCTTAGTTAACGTCTAAGTCCTTCCTCTCTTGTTTCCTGCTGTATCAGTAGCTAATTTTGACAGCATTGCCCCCTTCCTTTTCCTTCCTGTTTACTGTTTTAAATCAGCTATACGCAGAGACAGCAGGTAATTAAGCACAGTGGCACTGTGTATATAAACTGAGAGTAAATTGCCTCTGCATGCAGCGCGGAGAGCCTGGTGTGTGAACCCTTTGTGCATGGGTATTCTTGTGTGCAGTCCTATAATTTGAATGCCCAGAAGCCTCTGTTATCTCAGGTCTCTCAGTGCTTTGCACATGGTCTGTAGAGGAGTTGACACAGGTTCTATCTTCTTCATAAATGTTTGTTCAGTCTCAAGTGTGAATCAGACAGATTGTTAGGCACAGGAGTACCAGCAGCTACCCAGCCAGACAAGATCGCTGCCCTCGTGGAGCTTACATTTTTAGTTGAATAGACAGACAGTGAACAAGCAAACAAAAGTAAGGAAATTCTCAGCTTTAGCGAGGCAATAAGGAATACACAGCGTGATGACAGAGTGTAACGAAAAGGGGCAGAGGCTGCCTGAGCTCTGCAGTTCAGTCCTGGGAGTTGCTCAGAGGGAAGGTGGGGAACCAGCCACAGTCAGTCAGGCCTCTTAGTTATGCAAAGCTAGGTAGGTGGAAGTAACACAACCAGAGGACTTAGAGGATAGACAGAGTCTGATAGGGCATTTGGGCAAAAATAATTATTAATTAATTAAAAAAACCTGCTGGGCGGTGGTGGCTACAGAGAAACCCTGTCTTGGGGGTGGGGGCACAAAACCACAAGAGACTTTCAGGGGCCAGAGGCAGAGTTGAGACGGAAACCCCTTTGATGCTGGAGAATAAATCCAGAACTTCATGTAACTGGGCAAGCACTGGACCAACTGAGCTGCTTCTCCAGCCCTACATCTGCTTTTTGTTTCAATTTATTTTTACTATTTTTTTAAAAGATTTATTTATTATGTATACAGTATTCTGCCTGCATATGTGCCTGCAGGCCAGAAGAGGGCACCAGATCTTATTAGATGGCTGTGAGCCACCATGTGGAAGCTGGGAATTGAACTCAGGACCTCTGGAAGAGCAGCCAGAGCTCTTAACCTCTAAGCCATTTCTCCAGCCCCCTATTTTAACTATTTTTAATAATGGTTGGGTATGTACACATGAGTGCAGTTAGCCACAGAGGCCAGAGGTGTCTTCCTCTGTAGCTGGTGTTACAGGTGGCTGTGACCTACCTGCCCTCTGCGTGCTGGGACCCAAACTCAAGAAGAGCAGCGCACACTTTCAACCACTGAGCCATTCCTCCTTTCCTCTTATTATTATTTTTTAGATTTTATTTATGGACTGGATAAATGGTTTGGAAGCTTAGGGCACTTGTTGCAGAGCACCTACACAGAGGCACACAGCCATCCTTGACCCCAGTTTCAGGGATCCAGGGCCCTCTGCAGACCTCTGAGGGCCCCAAGCTTGCACAAAGTACACATGTAAGTAACACTCATACACATAAAATAAGTCTTCAAAAACCTTTCTTTCTCATCTGTACTTGTTTCTTTAAAGAAAAAAAGATTTAATTAAGCTGGGTGCGGTGTAGTGGTGCACACCTTTAATTCCAGCAGTGGTAGACAGAGGATCTCTGAGTTCAAGGCCAACCTGGTCTACGGAGTGAGATCCAGTACAGTCAAGGCTACATAAAGAAACCCTGTCTTGAAAAAGAAAAAGACCCGCTCCAAATAAATAAATAGATAAATAAATTTTTAGTGTGTATGAGTGTTTTGTCTGTATGTGTGTGAATATACACTGTGTGTGTGGGGGTTGCTGTTGTTTTTGTTTTTTTGGGAGGGCAGGGGAGGATGTTTTTGAGACCCTCTTTGTGTTGTTCTGGCTGTCCTGGAACTCCTGTAGACCAGGCTGGCCTCAGACTCACAGAGATCACAGAGATCCTTCCTCTGCCTCCCTAGTGCTGGGTTTAAAGGTGTGCGCCACCACTGCCTGGCGTGATTTTTTTTTTTTTAAAGAAAAAATGTTTTTACTGAGCTCTCCCTGTCCCTCCCTTTATAAATGGTCTGAACCCCAGGCACCAGTAAAGTGGTAAAGAACTCAAAGCTTTGCTCCATCTTATTCTCTGTGTCTTCTGAAGGTGGAAGGGCAGAGAGGGTCAGTACCGTTTCTCAGAGTGACCTTCCTTAGAGTTTTGGCACGAGATTGCCTCCGACCTGTATAAAAGTTTCTATGAGAATCTGTTCTTGAGGTGGAGTGGCAGTGTCCACTAGAGCATGGGGGTGAGTCAGGAGGATCTAGGAGTCATCCCCAGCTACATAACACATTTGAGGCTATGGCTTATCTGAGATCCTGTCTCAAAGAATGTTCCCTTGATTGTTGTTATGTAGGACATTACTTATGCTCAGGAGAGACACTGACCTTCAGGACTTGGTTATACACACCTGCCACCCCTGGACCAGGGAGTCAGGGGCAGGAAGACTGCCGTGTGTTTGAAGGTAGCTTGGGCTAAATTGTAAAAGTTTGTCTCAAAAAACTCCAAAAACAAGCAAACAAGAAGAAAAATAGGTGGGGGGCCTAAAGAGATACGTCGGTCAGCTGGTAAAGGACCCAGACGGGACGGCTGACAGCTGTCTGCAGCTCCAGCTCCAGGGGCAGCTGATGCTTCTGGCCTCCGTGGACACCTGCACTTAGCGTGCTCATAACCAGGCACACACGTGTACATAATTAAAAAGAATCTGGGTGTCGTAGTATTGTTTGTAATCTCAGTGCGGGGAGGTGGGGACAGGCAAAACCCTGGGATTATCTAGTCAGCCATTGTAGCCTTAATAAGTGTCAAGCTAGTGTGAGACCCTGTCTTAAAAACAAGGCAGAGCAGGCAAGTTGATGCAAGCCTCTGTCCTGGAACTCAGTGAGCACTCAGACCCTGCCTCAGAAAGAAAAAGAAAGAAAACAGTGCCTGAGCAAGAATATCTGAGGTTGACCTCTGTTTCCACATGCATGTGCATGTACGTCTGCACAGTCACGTGTACCTGCACACAGTGAACACACATGTCCAAGAAGAAAAAGGAAAGAGAAGGGGAAACTTTGGTAAACTTAGGGATTTTTTTTTTTTTTGGAAGGGGGTTGTTTTAATTTTTTTCCTCCTTTTTTCTTTGAAGTAAGGTTAATAGCTCTGGCTAGCACGCTACTCACTATGTAGCCTAGGACAGCCTTGAACTTGATGTTCTGTGATGTGATTTCAGGTGTGTGCTGAAATTGCCAGTGGGTCCTACTCTCTTGGATTTTCTGAGGGCAAATAACTGAGAAGAGCCTAGGGCCCCTCTGAGATTGGGAGAATAGCTCCAGACACGTGAGCGTGGCCAGAGGGTACCTAGAAGATGGCTTTTCCACCCCCAGGAACCATAGCGATCCATAGGTACAAGAACTACTCCCCATCCTCTCTTGAAACCATGTTGGGCCAGTGTGGTGGCGCACACATTTAATCCCAGGACTGGAAGCAGAGGCAGGCAGATCTCTATGAGTTTGAAGCCAGCCTGGTCTACAAGGGAGTTCCAGGACAGCTAGGACTGTTACACAGAGAACCTTTGTCTCAAAAAAAAAAAAAAAAAGAAAGAAAGAAAGAAAGAAAGAAAGAAAGAAAGAAAGAAAGAAAGAGTTCAGGAGGCCAATCAGGACCACATAGCAGGAGCCTGTCTTTAAGCCATTTTTAGAATCGTGCTATAAACCAAAGTAAAATATCATTTAATTTTATAGCTGGCTGTTTATTTTAACTGACTGAAAAGTTTTGTGTAAGATAGTATCTAATGTAAATTTTGATTAGAGATTTTTGTTATGTTACCAAATCTCAATATCTGGTCTATAAAATAAAATGTGTAGTTGTTCAGGATTTCTCTTTATTTTTGAGACATGGTTTCTTTGTGTAGCCCTTGCTATGCTGGGATTTGCTTTATAGACCAAGATCACATTGGCTTCGAACTCGCAGAGATCTGCCTGCCTCTGACTCCCGAGTGTTGGGATTAGAGGCATGCACCACCACACCCAGCTAGCATTACTCTTAAATTTTCTTGTATGTGATATGGATGATTTATAGTTTTTCCTAGAAATAAAAGAAGTTTACTTGAAAAAGAAAGGAAAATAGTGGTGGGTGATGGTGGCGCATACCTTTAATTCTAGCACTTGGAGGCAGAGGCAGGCGGATCTCTGTGAGTTCGAGGTCAGCCTGGTCTACAGAATGAGTTCTTGGACAGCCAGGGCTACTACAGAAACCCTGTCTTGAAAAACCAAAAAAATGAAAAAGGGGAAAATAGGAGAAGTGACTGAGCTGTTAAGTAGGCTTCCTGCTCTTCCAAAGATGAAGATCAGTTTCCAGCAGTCACAGGCTCACAGCTGCCTGTAACTCCTGCTCCGAGGGAAAGCCAGTGTTTCTAGTCTCTGTGGGCACCTGTACTTGAGTTCTTACTTGAGAACAGGTGCCCCCACACACACTCAATTAGAAAAGTTATAAAAACTATTTTTTTTAAAAGAAGAAATAATAGTCTTAGAAAGGTGAGAGTCTTTTGGACAGGAAGTTTTCAAATTTTAGGGCTTCAAGCAAATTCATTCTGACCTGAGAAAATTCATGCAATTTTTTTGTTTGTGGTATGGTTAATGTGTGTGTGTGTGTGTGTGTGTGTATGTATTGTATGTATATATACATATATGTATGTATGTATATGTACTTGTGTGTGTGCATGTCTGTAAGTGTACATCTGGTATCTTTCCTTGATCTTTCTCCATTCTTTTTATTTTATTTATTATTAGTGTATGTGTTTAAGTGTAA